TTATAGCAAAAGTTTTATGCTTGACTTTTCCGCTTTATTAGCGTTACATAATTATAAAAAAGTCTTAATTCGCCGATTTCTGGTCCATGTGCTGCCTTAACATACCCGCGGGGATCAGGAGAGAGTAAGAAACAGATGGAGCCATGCTATGTATTGGTAAAAGACATAGACAGAAAACCTAGGGAAACCAAAAGGAAACTACCCCTGACCAGTGAGAAGGGACAGAAGAAACAGAAAATGTAAATGTATGTATTTTTTTTCATTCTGAATAAAAATTGGAAAAAAATCAAAAATCTGTGTTAGTGTTATTGCTTTTGAGGAAATCCAGTTTGAACCGGCTGGCTGGCTAGACCGTCTAGACTGTGAAGCGTGACGTCATAATGACATTCTTTTGAATCGTTGCCAAAATCGTAGTAGCAGCGTTATGAATCGTAGTAGCAGCGTAGTGTATAATGTAAACACAGTATAAACATAGTGTAAGCGCCCCCCCCCCCTGTATTTAAGGGAAATAGGTTAGGGTTAAAAGGGGTTAGGGATAGAGGCCTAAGGGGAAATTAGGGATAGTTACGGTTAGGGGATAGGGTTGAGAGACAATAGGGTTAGTTTCACTTTTGTTTCTTGGTAATGAGGTTTTCAAAAAATGAAGCTAGACTGTGAATGAATGCGTGACGTCATAATCACATTCTTGTAATGTTTTTTTGCACACGGCGCATTTACCTGTATAGTTTAGCATAAACAGTGTAAACACCCAGTATTTAAGGGGGGACTATATGTAATGAATTAACCCACCTATCCCCCCAAATCTACACTCTCCTGACCCAGCTATCCCCCAGGGGGGACTGTACTGAGTTGATCCGGCTATCCCCCAGGGGATGCACTCAGTTGACCCGGTCATCCAGCCTGCTTCCGGCTAGGACATTTCTGGCTAGCCCACTTCCGCTAGGGCCCACTTCCGCTAGACCACTTCCGCTCCCGGCTAGCCCACTTCCGGTTAGCCCACTTCCGCTTCCGGTTCAACCACTTCCGGTTATGATGTCACTTCCGCCCCGGCTAGGCTGCTTATACTACTACGGCTTCCAACCATACTGCATCTTCCAAAGTTGGGAGTTCCTGATCCGCTCCTCCCGAAAGGGAACGGGTTTCTGATCCGGAACAGATCAGAGACTTCCGATTTGGAAAAAGGACCGTACTGGGGTTTTGAAAATTACAAGAAAAAAAAATCAGATTGTTTACCTATCTTTGTTTTCTCTGGCGCAGTTCAGAGTAATACAAAACGTTGGGCATCTATTCCCTCAAACAATAGAATATACTCTGCAAGATGGAGAGGGTCAAGTTCGTGGAATAGCTCGAAATAAAGAAAAAGTGAGCTATCTCACATACCCCCCCCCCCCCCCCCCGAGTTGCACTGACAAACTGTTCATCTCTATATTCAAGGTATGGCCAAATGCCTAAGTTATAAGGTGTGGAAATTCCCGGAAAAAATAAGGAATCGGAATCTCCTGGTAATATGCACATCTACACATTGTGTCCTAAATACCTGCAAAGTTTGACGAAATTCTGTGCTGCCGTTTATGAGGAGTTGCGCTGACAAAAAAAGAGGACGGACTGACTGACGGACGGGTAAATACATTATACCTCCCGCAACTAGTTGCGTGGGGTGTAATTCGGAAATCAAAGTTCTCAGAAGCACAGAGAGCCGGGCTAATTTACAGAGTAGAATTATTGAATTTCGTACAGGAATCATACGTTTAAATTGTATTAACAGATAAAAAAGAATATCAGATTTAAAATTCTGAAGAAAAAATACATTTTAAAACTATCAATGTAAATGATGAGACACTGACAGTGAGTTTTGATCCTAATACCATGGTCCGATTTATTTTGTCAGAATCAGAATTAATGCGATATTGCAGCTGAATGTAAACAGACAGGTCAGTCTGGTTCCTTCTCCTGCTTTTCTTCGTATGTGTAGAGAACCAAGATACATGTAACACTGGTTATCAAAAATCCCTACACTAATGAACTATGAGTTAAGTCTAAAGTTTTCAAAGGTTACTAAATATGTTTATTTATTTAGACAAAAATTCGTTTTATCATTTTTATTGCTTTATAAAGCGTTTGTATTATCTCAAAAGCGGTTAAGAGTAAGAACTATATTTTTACACGTAACTTTAAAATGGCGACTATGGGGTTGACATCCTGTGTTGAACAGGATCGCATAAGCCGGCAATTACTCTGCTCTTTGAGCAATAAGGCCGGCTAAAACGAATTGTCAAAACAATTATTATACGCCCGGATCTATAGATCCATGGAGTATTTGAAATATGAGGAATAGAGACCTCATATTTGGTATGCATTCTTAAAGCTTTTTCAATTGATAACAGAGTCAGTGACCTTGTCTATGACCTATTTTGTTAAGGATAGAAAGAGAAATTAAGGACAGGCCCCCACTCGACCCAAACTGCATCAGGTACTGGTTGATACAATAAAGACTTTGTTGAAGATAGTTTAGGAAAGATAGTTCTTTTCTGATAGCACCAGTCTTGTAAATATTCCCTATATTCCAAGAGGTCAAAGAAACCGTAAATTCCAATGACCTAAAAAATAACCCAACTAAGTTGATAGTTAATAGAGGATGTGAATTTCGAGGCTGAAAAAATGAGGAGTAGCAGTTTTACTCTGATCCATTCCGTCGATAATTATGGATAAATATTTCTCTGGATGCAGTCTGACATTCACTTGGTGTTGATAATACGTCCTCCTCTCTAATTTTAATTAAGTGTATGTGTGAGAGTGTGTTAGGGTGAATGTACGTATATAAAGGAAGATGTGATGCAAATAACAAAAAAATATTTATTTTATATTAAAACACCTTGATAAATGATGGAAAATGAGTTAAACATACATTTTCATACTTCTATGTTAAATTCAACTTGCTTACTGTTTCGTTATCTTTTCTCCTTTAGAACGTCTTGCTCTCTACTGTCTCTGGTTTCTCCGAGACGGATTCTGATTTCGGTGCGAATATACACTTTGAAAATTTGTTGCCCTGTTAATTTTAAAGAAGATAAGCAATGAAATTAATTATTTAAATGAATGTTGCCTGTTTGCATTAGTGTAAATAGTTTACAGATAATAACTTCTCCCACCTCAATCCCTACACACCACGTGACAAATTTCAATCAATCGTAAGGCAGGATTTCACGGGAAAAAATAACAGAGGTGGGATATATTGAATTTACTTTTTTCCACACTGGAAGACGGTGACAATTCATATAAAATTTGACAAATATTTTGTATGTAACAAGTTAACTTTTGAATCAGTTGCAAAAAAAAAAAAAAAAAAATAACAGCCCTTTTAGGAATATAAAGCCTACCCTCTTCTCCCAGTCTTTTTGCCACCCCTGTTTTGATTGATACTCTTTTCCTCTCAGCTTCCTTCTTCTTTGTGGAAGACTGCAAATCTTGACATTTATTCTTTTCCTCTTTGGTCGTGCGTCCATTTGCTGGAATTTTAACACGCATATATGTATGTATCTAGGATATCGGAATGTTGTGAATAACTTTATTCTTTAAATTTATACATTGTAATTATGACATATGTACTGGTGAATATAAAAATTAATAACCATATTGTGTTACAAAACTATTGAACTTGTCTGCATTACATTATTTCACAATTTACTGCAATTATTGTTTTCCGCCAAAAATGATTTCAGCGATAGGTGAACACAATTTCTCTACTATAGGCTAGTATGAGCCTATAACGACAACTTGAATATGTGGAAGTTGTGACTTGTCTGAGAATAATGCTTATAATCGTTCTCTGCCATTGTTCTTAATTCATTATACACAGATATTTTTTGGAATTGCAATGTGTGGCGCTTCAATTCTCCATAAGCGTCAAAAGTGGCTCTGCGAAATCGGTCGGTCAGAACCTTCTCCGGTCTCCTCGACCTTGGTTTCGTTAACATGCTGCTTTGCGGAACATGGGGAAAGATGGATCTGTGAAGGTATCTTTTCGCCATAGTTGTTTGCATATAAGAGGAGCCATGCCATTGCTTACATTGATCTAGTTTGCGTCTTCTTTATCCTGTGCCTCAAGAATAACCCTTTGTTTGTCTGTTTAAAAATATGTCAAATCTTATTTATTATGAATATATTTATAGTAATGTTGCTTTCTACATAACCATACCAATCGGGTCGAGATGAATATAGGGTTTTATACGGGTTTTATTATGTATTGTCCGTCCTCTATCTGTATTTCCTTTCGTCTGTTACGCGATGGCGAACATATCTTTTATCCGAAACTTCTTTCTTATCACTGAATGAAATTTGATGAGTACTTTTCAGAATCTTTGATACAATGACATAATGCTCATTCTCATTTGTAACAAACATCTGTCTTCAATATTTTAATATAACTTCACATTCATTGTGAGATCATTTTTGTGCAGGGCAATAAGTTTCGAAAAAAATTGACACAACCAGGAAAGTTTCGGCCTATGTAAATTATATTCCTGCAGTAACAAAAAATACATACGAGATTAATATTAATAATTATATCAATTATTAAAAGGTAGACAAAATTCAACTTGACTCCTCTACCATTGTCAATCTACTACTGGACTGACTTGATGCCAGTTGGAGTTCTCAACATTGCTTTAACTGAATTTAAAGTTGTAAAATTAATTAGTTTTATAGTTATATTCTTACTCATTTAAAATCATGATATTGATTTTAACTTCTTTAGTGAATAAACTAATTATAAATTATTTAAGCATACATTTAGTGTATTTATGACACATTGAAAGTATATCTAACAAAAAATAAGAGAAAACATTAATAAATATAACACGACTGAAATGTTGGATGGAGACTGAACCTTTTCTATGTCTAAGAACAGCTAAGCCCTAAATAGGAGTCTACAAATCCCTTTCCATACAGATACTATTATTACATGTATATAGCCATGACCATGGAACGTAGGTAACATATTCTTATGAAATTATATAGTTCTCTTTTCTGATTTGTATGGTGTTGTCCACCTGTGAATTTAAACTTTGTTTTTCCCCATCACTTCTGACAACTGTTATCCTCCTACCATAAAGTGATGGAGGAATCATATACCAGGAAGGTAGACCTTCGGGATCATTAAGATTTATGACTGAAACGTGTGTTTATGATGGTAAAACAGGGGGTTCATTGGTATACAGATGTCTCCATTGGTGATATGGTGCCGAAGCCGTTCAACTGGTTCTAGGACATTATCTTTTTCTTGTTGTGAGGGTTTCCTCAAAGGATCTTCTCTCTTCCCAGCCGGATTCTTAGTAGTGGACTTAAAATGTGGCTTCAAGACATTGTTACCCTTTGATGCTATTTTTTGCAGTCAGCAAAAACTATTAAAGGGAGTTAGAAAGAGTTCACATTCATCATTGGCAGATGTAATGCAATCTAGGACAGAGATTATACGTTATTGAGACTATGTTGTTGAACAAGGGACCATTCTTTATTTGGGACATAATTTTGTCCATTTTCCTTGTATACCTGAATTTTTGCATCATTGGAGATTTCAGAAATGCGCGTCTTTTCTCCAATGGCGTACCGATGACCTTGTCCTTATTCTTTTCAACAGAGACATTTTTTTTTATCTAAAGGGGTTGTATTAAGGTGTCTTTAATAACTAAAGAAATGACCTTGTGCATATTTTCATAAATATTCCCTTCTTCAAAGTCATGACAAACGCATGTTAGAATATGTCTGCAGAAATCTAAGCATGGTAATTTTTTTTACATTTTGTGTAGCAATAATTTTCAGAACATTTTTGTGCGTTTATAAAAATTGTATACAAATTGTTTTGAGAATGAAAACGTGTTTTCGTCAATTTGGCAAACTGCAGAATCGCATATGTCGAAACTACTTTGTCGACTCTCAAAAGTCTTAATATTTTCTTTAGAAAACAAACTAAATTTTTTCGATGCTCAATGTTTGAAATATAAGTTGTTCTCAATCTGAAGTAATGTTTCTAAAAGGACATCTATTCTACGGTTTCTTTTCCCTTCAAAGTAAACTGTTTTTAACTGATTATGGAAACTTTCTAGAAACTATTCGTATTAACTTTAGCATATTCACAATTTCTAAAACACATTGCCCATTTTTCTTTTCTAGTTGAATAAAAATTATTGACATATTTAAATAAAGCTGGATTAATATCGGAGAATCTTTGATCCAATACATCTGAATACTTATTATAGATTGACTCTGACTAGGCATCCATTGCAGCACATAACAAACAATAAATCTTTGATGCTGCTCCTTGCCTTTGATGCTGTTGAACTTTCAATCGCCAGCTTTTATGTATATGTCAAATGCAAAGGAAATGTTGTAAATCAGGTCAAAATATTTTTTTGCAGCACTCCATCCAGCATTATCTTCATCTATCAGTAGAATGTTAACTGTTGTTTGTGGGGACTTGGTTTTGACAGCACTTAAAACGAGTAATGACTTGTTCATTTTCTTTACTTGATGCACAATGCTACGGGGTAACCATGCCTAAATTCTTCAGGAACCAAAAGTGTAATTATAAAGTGTAGTTACATATTAATTTGAACGTAGAATCAATACAAAGAATTAAAAGTGCAAACTTTTCACACATTTTAGCCTGTTGTTTTGTCTTTATTGCTAAAATGATGTCTTCTTGATTGAATATCAAGTTCGCTGTCATTCTACATTTTGTTGTTTGTAAATTAAAATGGGATTAAATTTTTCTTCTTTGTAGCATCTACTCTTACAAAGAGTTGAGGTGCATCGTCGCTATGTCTGATAATAGTATAGTCAATATTTTCTTTTATTCAGGTTGTGAATTGTTTTCCCATCTATTAAATGATAATGTTTTAAATCTGTTGAAGTCTTCGCTAAGCGCACATTTCCTCTTGGTGGATCTTTCCAAGTCATGTTTTATGACATTGCCGATAAATTTGATGCCATGCTAACTAAAGCGGTACTTTCTTCTTAATTCAGCGTCAGTCCAACCTTCTAATTTCGTGTGGAGTCGAAAAATACGCTGTTTTCTGGGTCCAGGCGGGTGAATATGAAAGTTGGCGGCCATATTTAATCAAGGTTTTAACTTCTTAACCTACCTACCTAACCTAGGTGGATTAAGTTTAACACTGATTTAACACCTTGTTAACACAAACACAATTTTGAACAACAGTTAATCTTGTAGATTATTAACTCGGAGAAAACACTTTGTTAAATTTAAGTCTTTTGAACAACCGGGCCCTGGGCTGAATTTTCCCTTGCAAAGGTCGTCCATTTAACTTACAAGAACCCTTTTTATATTCCGTTTTTTTTACTGTCAATTGTACGTTTCTTCCCATACCTATGACAACCAAGGGTATATCTTAAACTGCTGTTAAAGTGCGAATCGGGAAAATCTGACACCAGCTACTATTGGTTTACATCAATATAGATTCATTTTACATCATGAGTCTCAGGGAGATACAAAGTGATTTACTTCACAGTGAGGCAGAAGCGATTGTTAATCAATGTAATTGTTTAACTGTAAAAGCTCATGGATTGAGTCAAAGTATTGCAGAGAAATTCCCACAAGCTAATCTCTATGCCACCCGCAGACCTCTAGGGACTACAAGTTTAGCCTTAGAAGAAGATAGAGGAATTCCAGGCACTATTAAGGTGTTTACCTCACAAACACCTGTGGTCATTTGTTTAGTAGCTCAGTGGGATTATGGAAAAGCAAGTCACAGACCTAAAAGAATTTCCACTTATCAGGACACAGAAGAAGAAATGGGAACTTTACCTTACCAGATTTATGCTTTTCTTATAAAATAGGGTGTGGTTTAGCAGGAGAAAACTTGACTCATTAAAGACATTATATTGAACAATTTGTACACACTTATGACAAACAGGTGTACATTCTTCATAAACATTAAGTGAATGTATGTGTTATTGCTGTTTGAAAAATTAAAAAATATATATATATTTGTGTTTTATGTGAATTTATTTTTAAAAAGAGACTTTTTTCCCCTTATTTATTATTTAAAAAAAAAGAAAAAAATTAAAGTTATTTTAAAAAGGAAAAAAATTATAAGTTTTAAAAAGTTATAAAAATTTAAAAGTGATCCGGTGTTATAACTTGAGACACACAACACGTTTCATTTTTTGACTGTAAAGTAAGCATCTTTTCTAAAAATGTGGGTGTCCCTTAAAAGGGCCGTTGGGTTTAAAAGTGATTTTTTTTTAGACAGGGTTTACTCCCTGTGTCTCCTGCATGGACCTCCGAACTCCCGTCTCTCAGAGAGGGGTGAGCGATGCCTGCCGGTCAATGGCTGCATGAAGTCTTCCGGTCTAGCGGGAACTGAGGGTGGTGGTCTTCTTGGTCGAGGTCGCTGCAATCTCACCCCGCGGGTGGCCCGGTAGCCTCTAGGGATCCAGGGCTCTCGCTGTCGACAAAGAGGGCAGCAGCAGGGGGTGATGTCTGTCTCACCAGAACCTGTGAGCACTGGAGACAGGCCGGCCTGTTCCTACAACCCGCACACACAAAGTTTGAGGGCACTCTGCAGATGCCGACCGGGAGTCCCCATACCCGGAATGGGTCGTCTAGGAAGGGTGGAATTTCCCTGAGCCATTGCAAACGTAGAGTGGAACTCAACCACGAATGACAGCGAGCTCTCGGAAGCGTCGGTA